GTAAAATACCTGGGTTTTTTCAATTTCAAAAAAGTTTCAAACAATTTGCCCAATTCCAAAAATAATTACGAATCGACGATTAGCTCATTAAAAAGCTGTTTTCTTTGTGGTAAGAACTTATAATAGTGGTAAGAACTTATGATATTTTCTCAAATTAAGAGTAAAAAAATTAAGAGTAAATAAGAAACTTCGCTGTTATTCTCTTTCTCTATTTTTTAATCAGTCACGAAAAACTGCGAAAAATCAGCAAAAAATTGCCAAAAGTGTATGCACCTTGTGGTAACTGCTAGGTACCACATGTTGTAACGTGCATTGATGGCAAACATCCAAATTCATATGCTCAAACTGATGTGTGTGGAGCTCAAGATGGGTAGCGTAATACCCAACTCATATGATTTAGAAGTCCTAAAAACAGGTAGCTCGCTTCCCTTTGGGCCCAAAATATTTCTCAAGGTTCCGTTCAAGACGCTCTCTTTCCGTCACTGTCTCAGATACAGATTTCTATGCTTTTAAAGAAAGAAATTACTTTTTTTGCTCCGTTTCTCAAACAGGCAGCTTCGACCCATGGCAATCTTGAGCCCACTACTAGACCCATTTGATTTTTCACTGAATACTTTTGCAATGCAACATACATGGCTTCTGCAATAAAAAAGCACTCTTAATAACAGTTATAGTTAATAATAGTTTTAACATTTTCCTGTTAGCCAATAACATGTGCCCCTGCCAAGCAATAGGAATACCCCTGTCCTGTATTCATTTTGGGACCTGCCGTTTTGATTTCAATATTCTGTTACAGTTGAGCAGTTGATGAATTCGCTAATCGATAAAGAGCTTCATCACATCTGCTTTAGATTGGTCCAGTTCATTACAAATACTGCAAAGGTTTCTTAACGGCTAGTCTTAACGGCTTTCTTCTATAGCGTTTTCAGTCTAAAGAATGAAACAGACTGCAAACCCACTGATTAATTAGAATACGCAATTTTCAAACAATCTTACTAGATATTCCAGTCAAAGTAAAGTTCTAAATACACATGCACGGTTGTCAACTTTCAAATAATTCCTTCTCGACCGCTTGTTTTTCAGAATTACTTTTTCAAAATTTTTTCCCCTTTTATCATTCTTGTATGGCGAAATCACTCTGAAGAGGAGAATTCTAGATTATGCCAATCTTATGATTTTCTGATAACCTCCATCCGGTTTATAAGGTGTTATGAAGTCGTTTGAATGTATGATTTCATCGATTGCTTCTTTCTTCCAAACTACTGGTTTGGATTCTGCTTCGTTGAAATACCTGAAGCAAAAATAAAACAGTTGGTTTTGTACAATGTGGAAACAATGGTTTTTTTTAAGAACTATTATAAAACGCTTGTGTCTGGAGGACCGTTAAGCTTTCCAAACAACGCAGCACACGTCAAGACCGCTAGCAAACTTACCACCAGATGCTTGAAAAGTTACCGGCTCTGAGTCGCCTCAAATTTTGATCACGCCTGGTTTCACCCAAAGAAGTAGAGACAAAAGATTTTTACAATTAATTAGAGAAAGTTGCACAACACGAAAAGTGGGCATTCCACATAACACAGTTCACGTGGTCTTTACGTTTCCATTTGGAAAGACCTTGTTTTTTTTTCTTTTGAATTTATAGGAAACAAGGTGGATGATGACCAGGGGAAATAAGACTGGAATCTTTTTTTTCATGTGAAATGTTTGATTTACACAACCATTTTTCGAGTACAGCGTGATCGAACATCAGGAATAGGTGACGTAATTCGTCTGGCAGCTCATTCGGTGGCACCTTCGATGGCACAACACTGTTCATAGCAGTCCACTGTGAGAATATCTAAAAAACAGCACTATGCTTACCGGTACTGGCAGATCTAGTACCGAGCTGAAGGACTTCAGTTATCAGCATCCATCATAAGATTTCGATCCCAACAACAATAAAGACAGTGACTACAACATGGACATTCCCAGTAACTTTACTGATGTTTGTGGACGTCAAAAACAGCCAGGAAAAGTCTGATCTTTTATAAATTCCAAGCGGCCTTGCTACTATTACGTGGACGTCATCCTCTGTAAGTTGCTTAACATGGTGTGCGCGTTGAGTGCCCAGGACTTGATTTTGATAGGCCTAAAATTTCATCTTCCTGTTTTTTCTAGTTTCCAAATTAAAAAATTTTCCACTTGAAATTTTGTCTGAGTAACTACAAAAATTTGTTATTCCCAAAGTCTTCCCGGTGTTCCTTGCCCGACTCGTTCAAATGCTTTGGAGCTAAATTGGCTGTGGCGTATATCAAGGAGCCAAAATCATAATCGGTGCGCTTGTAAGCAGCTCTTGTAGGACTGAGCACCGGCATCCATCTAAGCTGGTGGAAGGGTGTGCCGCCATTTCACTATTTTCGAACGTACCCCCCCCCCCCCCCCCCCCC